GACCCACCAGTGAGATGCATCCAGGACCCACTGCAGGACTCCAGTCCACTTTCACCTCTCTCAGGGCAGACTTTACAATTGATGTGCAGCACCTCACTGCAGGCAACTCACCTCCCCAGTCTCCCTCCCCAGATCCCTGTAGCTGCTAGGAAAGCCAGTATCCCTCAAATTAGACACCTACTTTAAAAAAGAACAGTGTGCCTCCCAGCAACAGACATGATAAATGCTGTGAGTAATGACAGATCCATGTGTTAACAGCACTATCAGCCACCTACTGGCTCCTTTCTTCTTTTGATAAAGGYTTTTCTCCCCTGCTTTTGCATGAGCACAAACTTCTCGTGTCAAGGTGGATCTTTCTGCAGAAGCAGTGGGAGCAGAAGGCAGAAGTTCTGAAGTCTTGACTGCAGCAGTGAAACAGGCTCAGTGCTGATCACGTAACTGGGGCTCTTTGCCTCAATTTCTCCACTTGTAATAGGAATAATGTCTACATTGTATTTATGCTGCAAGGTGCAGTTAATATTTGCACAATGGTGCTTGGGAGATACCAAGCATCAGATATTCCCAGGATGCACCAGAAAATCAATTGTWTCTACACAATGAACAAAAGCACACACAGATGCTAGCATAATGTTATGTATTTTGCTAAAAAGACAAATAAAAATCTTGCCTTCTGTCCTCAGATTTATTGTCAAACATCCATTGCTTCACATGCTGAAGCAGTTAGTAATACAAAGCGTATTTCTATCCTACTTTATTTTACATTAAAAAGTGAAGAACCATTATTGAATCTTAATACAAAAAAAAGGTCTTAAGTTACATTCTCCTGGGATCATCTGTAGCAAAGCATAATAAGTTTCTCAATATCTGACCTAATTATATCTGTCCTTCTAAGTTTTGTTTCCCATAAGAACTAAATGTCTGGTTAAAAATAACATTTGAAACTCTTCCAAGTTCCAACAGAACTTTTTCAGCCTCTCTCAAATTTAATATCTATTTTTGTTTTAATTTTCACCCAACTTTAAAAGTTATGGTTTGAAGGCTGGCATTCTGCTCTGTTATCCAGTTCCTAAATATGTTTGTATCAGATAAACTTGAGAAATAGAGGGAAAATCATATTGTGTGTGTTTATTTCATGTTAGGAAATTCTGCAGCTATTGCAACAAGTGACAGAGAGACATAGGGAAGGAAGGATGTCTTTGTGGCTGGAATGGAATGGGCTGTGTTAGAAATGTGCCTTCTGATTCTCGTCAAGGTCTCTTGACAGAAAACATCAGGCGATTCTACAGTGGTGTTTGTGTCATCTGCCCTACCCAAGCACCCAGTGTWAGCCACTGCCCCAGAGCAATGGTGATGGAAGGTGACACGGGCCCCAAATCCTGTGACCCATCAGTCCTGTTCAGAGCTCCCACATCAAGGCAAAAGCTGGCAAATTGTGCTACTGTTGTGATGGCAGAATTCCTCATACTCATTTCTTCCGGCTGCCCCATTAGGAGAGGGCTGGCACAGACCTGAAGCTGGAATGCTTTGTACCTAAATCCACATCATGCAGCAGTCAGAGATCCCAGTGGCCATTTAAGACCTTCGTGCCTCAGTTTCCCAGCTGTAACCAATGGAAAACAGCACTGACCTTGCTGAAGAGATATTGCAAGGCTGAAGTGCTAACATTTGCCAAGGGTTAGGAAACCAGGTCTAATGTGTTAAAGAAATACAAGGGATTATTATAACCAGTCCCACTCTATTCCCAGGGAGGTTGATAATAAAAAACTTTTATTCAGCACCCTCCACTGTGAGTAGACCAAGAAACAAGTGAGTCTGCAAACAGAGATACAAACAGGATTTTTGGATTGGAAATTCAGATTAGCCCTTTTCTATTGAGAACCTTTTTAGGCCTTGTTGGAGGAAGAATCTGGAGATCAGACTGACTCTTTGAACATCAAGCTTTGTGCACCTGCAGGAGTTCTGCATCCATCACCGTGGAAGGGCCATAAAGCCCCGTCCTGGAGGTTTATAAATGGTGCTGCCTGCTCACAAGTGCAGAGCCGGCATGAGCTCTGTTTTCACGGTTCAGCTCACGAGAGGGGGGCGCAAGCTGAACAACAAATGCAGGTTATAATTGCCCAGTCGTTCTGCTTCAAGGGTCTGGGACACTTAAATGTCACAGTATATAAATGGGAATTGTTGGAAGAAATAGAGCAAAGTGATTTCAAAGGCATCCGAGTCCAGTACTTTTGCTTGTTCATAGTACAGGTTCAAGGCTGGAGCAGAATGCCTAAATTCCCTCAGAAAGAGGCAGAGAAGGGTTGGTGGATGAAGCAGCAGCTCCTGTGGTGAAAAGTTCTGGTTTTGTTAGATGGGCAGCACAGTTTGGTGGTTACAATATTCCCAAGAGATATGAGCATCCAGATCCCTACAGGCTGAGACAGGCCGAGCTCTCTAGTTTCACTGACCTTGCCTTTATCATGAAGTTATTCTGCTGGTGCAAAACCTCATTGCAAGCTCTGAATCCTCATATAATTTAAGCATTTGACTTTTCCTTGAGAATTCCTCTGAGGGGACACATTCATACCCTTTCTGTGGACTGCCTTAGGATCAGGGGCTGCTGTGCCTCCCCAGCTTTAACTGCAGCACTCTGCTATGGGGAATTCCAGGCAGAATCAACCAAAGGCTCCTCAGAAGAGCTGGTGGCACTGAGAATTGCCATCCTGAGCACCAGGAGCAAAGGCTGAGTTTCTCCTGCCACAGGAAAGGGGAAGGAAGTGCAGCACTGTGACGGAAAACCAGGCTTGCTACTGCCGCCCCTACTGCAGAGATAGGAAGGGTGAAGGCAGAAATGCTGTCACGGGATGGGGCCCTCCCTTTATCCCCAACAGCAAACACTGCCTGGCTCCCTGCCCTCCTGTGCCAGCCACTGCAGCCATGAGCACCAAGCACCGACCTCGGCAGGGTTCAGGAAATGCTCAGACAGTGCTCTCAGGCACATGGTGTGACTCGGGAATGGTCCTGTGCAGGACCAGGGGATGGACTTGATGATCCTTGTGGGTCCCTTCCAACTCAACATATTCTGTGATTCTGTGATTCTGTGAGCCTTGTTTCCCGGGGCTGATGCCCTGTGTTGCTGTGACAGCCTGAAGTCCTGTGCCCGTGCTGTTTGTGCCCAGCACTCAGCCCATGTGGGGAGCATATGACAGTAAATATGCAATTTCCCTGGGGAGCTGGGGGTCTGCTGAGTATCTGCACTCGGTGACAAAACACTGCCCAGGCCCTGCAGAAGGTTTTGTTAACATCTAATGTCTGCTTGGAATAGATGGTCCCTTCCAACAGAACTATTCTGTTCTATTCTATTCTATTCTATTCTATTCTATTCTATTCTATTCTATTCTATTCTATTCTATTCTATTCTATTCTATTCTATTCTATTCTATTCTATTCTATTCTATTCTATCCCATTCCATTCCACTCTCAGAGCCATCTTTCTCTTCCCAGTGATAGGGTTCCACACAGCAGGCACTTTGCAAGGTGTCTGGAATCAAGGCCTCTCTTCCCACGGCAGAAACATTCATGGGGTGGCTGGGGCTGCCAGCGAGCAGAGCATCCCATGACCGTCCCCAGAACAACAAAACAACCAGGCAAAGGAGGAAAAAAGACAAGACAGCAGAGCTGGGCTTTACTTACACAGGATTTCAACTAGCTGAGGAATGGAACACAGCAGTGGTACCCTGGCTCACTTTTAATGCAAAGGGGGTGTTATCTGTGAATTAAATACTATGTCCTTCTGTTCTCAATTTTCTAGCTGTTTTCCCCTGCATAAGGCGTTGATTTGAGTTTCTTTCTTTCACCTTTTTTTTTTTTTTAAGAGTAAGGTATAATAGAAATTAAGGTTTCTAGACACTTCGGAAGGTTTAAGTAGCCCAAATTTTGGAAATTGAGGGTTTTTTCACTAAGATGTTTTCTAATTAAAAATGGTTTGCAAGCACTGAGCCCATGATGTTCTTGGATGATCTGYCACAGCTCTACCAGTACCACTTTGGGAAGCAGTACATGGGAAAACGGCTATTATAGAAAAGCCAGTGAGATAAATCTTGAAATAATTTTACCAACATTAGGCATCCTATTTTGGGAAGAAACTGAAGAGAGGATTTTTTTTTCCCAGAAAATATCGACTTTTCCAAAAGCAAGATATTCATAGGTGATGAGACTGATTTACAKCAATATGTGCACACAAACATTCACTTGCTCCTAGATTGTGAGCAGGAATGTCAGACTCATTTCTAAATGGGGCACTTGCACCTGTATGTGTAATATTCCAAACATAGTAGGTGCTTCTTACTGTTTCCCTATGTCTGATTTTGAAAAATCTGTTCCTTGCTAGATTGAACTCATTGCTTYTCAAGTATCTTCTCTAAATATGAGTTTGCATGTGATATTCATCCAGGAGTTCTCTGCAGATTCAGTTCTGATGCTGTACTTTCAGATGTTATTTGTTTTCATTCTTCTGTAACATTTTTCATCCTCCCTTTCATTTCTATCTAGCTCCCTGTAAACCTTTATGATCCTGATATGCTGTTTTCATAGTTTCTCCAACAATCTCTTTGAAGAGGCTGGACAAGCAAGACCATCTCTCAAATGATGCAAAACATTTCCCTAATGTGGATATTATATGTGCCRAGAAATTCCTGAATCAGTTTGAGTGCTCCCATACTGCATTCATGTATGTCAGCAGCAGTCACAGGAGCTGCCTGTCCTTGCTGGAGACTGCTGATTCCCAGCAGGGATATTTTGCACCTCTAGGTTACCACATCTGCCACTGCCAGTTCCAATAGTTTCCCATCTCTCCACAGGAAATATTCGATCACCCACCCAAAGCCCATCAGAACTARTTCTATTCAGTATCTAAGCAACAATTCAAATAGCAAATGTTGGGGGGAGGGAGGAATTTGTGGCTAAATACTGTCCCAATGTCCTTTTTTAAACAAGAACCTTTTTCTCTGCTTCTTGTCTAGACCAAGTTCTGATCACCCAGGAAAGGCCAAAGCAAAGACACTTTAACCAGAGAAACATAAAACCAGGATCTTCTCCCATGGTAGGTTTTGATTCCCAGCAGAGCTGCTCTTCAGCTGTTGCAAGATCCTTTACACAACCACAGTTCCTTTGCTCCTGTAGGGAGGTTTCAGTGCCCTGCCTCCCTCAGCAGCCAGGCTGACCCAGCCTGAGGGGCCGAGGTGCAGAACAATCCTGGGCTGGGAGCTCTGCTGTGCCTGGCTGGAGKCAGAGCCTGCCCACTGCACCCCTTTGCCCTGCTGGACCTGCAGGGCTCCTGCTGCTCCTGACTGCAGCACGCCTGCTGAAGGGAATGCAGGCTTCTTCTTCTATCTCTATTTCTGAGAACGTTCAAATAGCAAAGTTAAATCCAGGCTTATCCTCTCTTTTCTTTACATAAAAGCTTCCACTCAAAGCAGATGTTCTCAAATCTATTATCCTCTATATTGTTCATATTGGTTCTAATTTTTCCCACGTTGCTCAAAGCTCTATCCTCAGGTGACTGTTCTCTGAGCTTTCCCAGCTCAGCTTTACCTTTCAAATAAGATTTATCCATTAAAAAACAATCCTACTGCTTTTTGCAGCTATCATTTTGTCACATATGGATTTATTCAATAAATGCTTTTAATAGCAACATTTCTAGGCTTTGTTTGTCAAGAGCTGCCAGGCTTTTACAAGCCAGGGTTGGCACAGACGTTGAATTGCCTCTCTGTACCCAGGGGAGAGCTTCCTGCTGGTCATGACAGCATGACATGTGAGGTCCTGCACACACAAGTAAATGAAAGGAAATTAAAAATAAGGGTAGCTTCATAATTCACAGCCAGTAAATGGTGAAGAGAACCAGGCTTCCAGCAACTTTTGGACCTCAGCAAAGCTTCTAATAAAAACAGGGATATGTGATTTTAATTTGCAGTTCCAAGATCCACTGAAAAACCTAAAAGCCCAGTTTCAACACAAGCACCAGGGCAGCRAACTATATAAAGGCCATCAGCAAGAGAAAATKCAGCCAGCCCAAGGGCACTGGGAARTAACAGCTGACAGGACAGAAGAGAGGTCAAGATCAGTATGCCAAAAATCTTTCATTCATCCGTCAGCCTGAAGTCAAGCAGCGTTGCTGTTGCCTGCCTGCTGCGTGCTGTGGGGCAATGGGTGTCTGGTATTTGTGTCTTGGTGTAGCYGGTACCCACCCATGCAGGACTTCACGGGTGTCTCCTGAACAACTGTAGAAGGTGGTGGTTATGGAAAAAAAAGAGGGAGTCTTTCCCTCTGTTCTTTTTCCCCAGTCTCTTCTGAGATCTTCAGATGTGCATTGCTAAACTGTCCTCCTTGAAAGTGGCACAGTGCTAATTTTGTCTAAAGCAAAATCAAAAGAGGAAAGAAAATATATTGCCTAATATTAGTATTTAGGTTTTTCAAGAACTCTAAAGTTGTTTTGGTGCATCTTTTGCTTTCTTTCAATGAAATATTTAATGCAATCAGACATTAATAGGATTTATTTTTGCTCATCTTCCTCCATTCTTTCCATAGTTACCTATTCAGTCCCACAAGGACTTATTAATTAAATTCTCTCAGTACAGTGTTATCTCTCTTTGACTATCTCTATTTTCTGTACTGCAGCTTGTGTACATTGTAGAGCGGAACCAGAGAGAGCAAAGAACCAAATAAAAAGATCCCTCCAGGAATAGASTATTCGATTATACAAAGAAAACCAGCAGTTCTGATTGCTCATCCTTATTTCCCAGAGGAGGCCACAAATGTCTTTGTTCTTTGGTTTTTTAGAAAGAGTTTCCTTTTCTGGTAAAATCACTTTACCTGTAAACTGCAGGTCAGGCTTTTGGTCACATTCACCTGCTTTTCCATTAAACTATTAGAAATTGTTCTTCCCCATGCTCGGCCTCCAACRAACAGCTTTGGGGTATTTTGCAGCTCCCCATGGTTTTGTGCTCGGGCTCCAGACCCTCCACCAGATCTGAGTTTCCAGGGAGGAACATGGCCTCATGGAACCACACAGTGGGTTCTTCTCACAAACATCAGAGTGTCATAAATGCATTATTGCTGACAACAGTGATGATGAGATCCTGGAGAGGCCCCAAAAGGAATGAGCATGGGGCCACAAGCCCCCTCTCATCTCCTGAAGGGCTTAACCTGTTTCATGGACAAAGAACAATTTCTGCTCCCAGAGCTGTCAGTCAAAGCCATCTTCCCCAGTGCTAAAGTGACCACAAATAACAGACTACTTCTGAGAAACTTAAATGGGAAGTACAGTAGTATGTATAATTAACGGAGCATTTTAAGCTGTGAACTCTCTGTCTCCTTGAAGTCTACAAAATTGTGTGACTCACAGCCATCACACCTAGGGTATATGTGCACACATATATATGCTTGATATGTTCAGTATTTCGTTCGTGTCTAAAAATAAAGTTGCAAAATGGAATGGGAAAATCCATTTGCTCCCTTACACTTTATGCTGGGAACCTGATATTACCTCCAGTTTACCATCTTCCCAGCTGGCTGGATATTGTATCATTCATGTTGGACCYCCCCCAAGATTAATGGCATCATCTGTACAGTTAACAGCCTAATTTTGCTAAATCTCATCATTTTGAAATTTGGWTGTGCCTGATCTTCATTATTTTAATTGTTTAATGCATTATTATTAATTAGATCTAACAGATTCCAATTCAGCTCRACATATTCACATTTGTCTGCAAGCTGTGGGAAGCCCAAGACAAACCAGGCTGATTCCACACTGGCTTTTCAGTCCAGAAACCAGGTACTATTTTTGCCACTGTCTTAGGTTTGTCTGCAGGCAAGTCATCTATCTTTCTGTTTCTCCAAGGGATTCCAGCTTGCAGTGTTTATGGCCTAACTGGATTTCAGCACAGGCTGACATCTTTGCACGCAAGTGTTAGGGAAATACGAACAACACCCCACAGCCCACCCCATACACAGCCCATCCCATAGTTGCCTTCTAAATGGGACTGGCTCCCATTGAGACTGAGCACAGCAATAAAAACCGTGAACACGGAACCTTGGGGATATATATGTTGTTTCAGCATAAAACATGGAAAGCTCTCTTTCCTCCCCACCCATCTCATGTCAAGTTCTGGAAGATTTTGGTACTTCCCAGAGGACAGACTTTCTGCCTACATAGAGGGATACCTTCGACTTGCTGTGCATGACAGAGTCCCATTGGAGTCACATCAGTTTTTCCTGAARATGCTGCTGTTGCTGCTGCATGCACAGGCCTGGCATCCAGATCCTCTGCACTATCTCTCCAATGGTGCATCTTCATTCTGCCTGCATCCAGATTGAAAGGAAGAATATCTTTTTGCTGGGGATTGAGAGCTAGTTGTTTCTTCCAAAGGTAGAGCTGTGAGAAGAGCAARCTTTCCTTCCAGCAGTGAATGAAGTTGCCTACCCCTTCCCCATCACCTTAACACACCAGTTCCGTGGGAAGAGCACTAACTCAGGACATGGAGGACCCAAATTGAATTCACTCCTCCACCTGAGAGAAGGTGAATCCGTTTCTTCAGGGCACACTCTTGCTATCGGTCTCCACAAGGTGGTCTTTAGCTCCTGCTAAATGTTTGTCCCAAAAATTAATAAGGGAGCATTGATCCTAAGAACTACAGCAGCCTGCTGGTCAGCTGTCCAGAACTCACAAACAAGGGCGGAAAGATTTGGTTCTGCTCTGTGTCCTAAGGACTACTTTTGCATCTTATCTGGTGATTACTGTGTAAAATAATCTCAGAGTATCTTTCCAAGGAGTACCAGGGTTCCCTAGCACCCTCCTTGCAGCAGTGAGCAGTACGGTGAAAGACCAAAACCACCCTGTACAGAACAAATCAGACCTTGACTGAATTCATCATGGAAAAAATGGGAAGAAACAAACATATGCAGAAACCTGCCACTGTCATCTCCACAAGAAAACCACGTGTTAATGCCCCCCAGCCTGATAAAAGACATTCCCTGGGGTGTTGTGGGCAGCCAGCTGCCCGGGGTCACTCTCTTGACAGTAAGGAACAAATGTTCCAGGGAAGACACAGCAGGTGTGACATGAGTAGTGTGCCCTGGTCCAGCAAAGATCCCCCCACGAGGTTACAGAAMAAGCCCCTGCTGGTACCACACCTCAGAAATACTGCCTTTGCAGTATCCATGGYTTTGTGGCAGCCAGCCTTCTCTAAAAATGTCTAATTAGGAATAATTAAGGCCCTCCCCAAAAAAAMCAGGAGAAATACTAAGTTACTTGGGAACCTCGGTACAAAAGAGCAAAGAAAAGGATCTCTAGCAAACACAGAGTTTGATTTCAAAACACTAGGACAAAAAAAATGTACCTCCTGTATTTTTGAATCTCATTAATAATTGTCAGATCTATAAAAATATTCCGTTAGAACAACTGTAATCAAAATAATATACTGCGTGTTTTTGTCATCTTGTTTAGGGATTCTTTTCCATTCCTGAAACATAGCACAGGCTTGGTTTTAGGTAGAGACACTTTTCTTTTTGCAATTTATTTTTGCTCTGAAGAAAACACACTTTCAAATTACATGCAGGATGGATTAATAAATTTGAAGCACTTTGCAGACTGTTAAAGGTGAAAAGGGAGGGTTGGTGGCATTGGGGCCAGGTATGATGACACCCAGCCCTTTTCACAGAGYCAGCTGGATGGCTGGGAGGGCTCAGCTGGGACAGGTCTTTGTGCTGTCTCTGACTCAGGTGGGCAAAGCATTTCACACCCCAGTAGCCATGACCACAGACTGGGAGGAACCAGGCAGGAGCTATTGTTGCCAAGGGAGAATTTGCCAGGGCAAGAAGCTTGCTGGGGAAGGGAGGAGCAAGCCAAAATCACCAGCAGGGCTGGTCTGCGGGAGGAAGATCGTGGCAGGAGGGAAAGCAGGAATTTTTGGATGGTGGCAAAGCACCAAGGCATAGGAAARGAGCACTTCAGTGCTGCATACATCCAAATGAATGTATTGAACAGTCCTCGACCACCCTTTGAGCTACTATGCCATATTTCCTTGGGGAAGTGATCTGCTGGGG